TCGATACAGAAGATCCAATAAAAAGGGGGACTTATTGTATTCAATTTGAAATGGGAAACAATTCGTCCTATCCATTGTCATCTGTTAACAGTTCGTGGCCGGCTAGTCTAATCAACGACCTCACCGATGTTTCCCTTTTTATACCCTCTACCATAGTATGGAGGGTATATTAAGTCTCTCATTCTGTTTGTAACAACTCGAAATATATATTTTAGACCCCACAAGGTATACATATTCTTGATCAGCATAAAATTCTATGTCGATTTAGTGATGTTCGTCCGTCTGTGAAAATCACTCTAGCTTCCGATCGAAATAAAGTAGGTTGATAACATTTAACAGAAATTTATATTATGTCTGCAGGACTTTTTTTGATACAATGGATCATGTAGGTCCACGTTTTGGTGTAGCCCCTATACAACGGTGTCTCCCGATAGTCGGTACTTTGATGATTTTAGCGACATTATACTTCGGAATTGTTTCAAACTTGGTATTTGAGGGTCCTATAATAGAAAATTGTCTGTGCATGTCCACGTTTTGGTATAGCCCCCATATAATGGTACCTCCCTTTTTTCGGTATTTTGATGATTGTAGCGACATTATTCACCAAAATTGTTTCAAATTTGGTATTTGATGTTCGTAATGGATACTACAGCCTAAGACAGAAAAGTGTCCGTGCAGTTCCACGTTTTCGTATAGCCCCCATAGAATGGTAACTTCCGATATTCGGTGCTGTGATGATTTTAGCGACATTATTCAACGGATTTGTTTCCAGTTTGGTATTTGAAGTTCGTAATGGATAGTACAGCCTAAGACAGAAAATTGTCTGTACACGTCCACGTCTTCGTATAGCCTCCATATAACGGTACCTCCCGATATTCGATATTTTGATGATTTTAGCTACATTATTCACTTGACTTGTCTCAAATGTGGTATTTGAAAGTCGTAATGGATACTACAGCCTAAGACAGAAAATTGTCTTTGCAGGTCCACATCTTCGTATAGCCCCCATATAACGGTACCCGATATTCGGTATTTTGGTGATTTTAGCGACATTATTCACCGGAATTGTTTCAAATTTGTTATTAGAAGTTCGTAATGAATGCTACAGCCTAAGACAGAAAATTGTCTGTGCGGGTCCATGTCTTCGTATAGCCCCCATATAATGGGACCTCCCTTTTTTTGTATTTTAGTGATTATGTACCGGAATCGTTTCAAATTTAGTAGTTGAAGTTCGTAATAGATACTGCACCCTATGACAGAAAAGTGTCTGTGCGGGTCTACGTATTCTTATAGCACCCATATAACGGTACCTCCCAATATTCGGTACTTTGATAATTTTAGCGACATTATTCACCAAAATTGTTTCAAATTTGGTATTAAAAGTTCGTAATAGATACTACAGCCTATGAAAGAAAATTGTCTGTGCAAGTCTACGACTTCGTATAGCCCCCATATAACGGTACCTCCCGATATTCGGTATTTTAATGATTTTGACGACATTATTCACCGGAAATGTTTCAAATTTGGTATTTGAAGTTCATAATGGATAGTACAGCCTACGACAGAAAATTTTATGTGCAGGTCTACGACTTCGTTTGGCCCCCATATAACGGTACCTCCCGATATTCGGTATTTTGGTGATTTTAGCGACATTATTCACCGAAATTGTTTCAAATTTGGTATTTGAAGTTCGTAATGGGTACTACAGCCTATGACAGAAAATTGTCTATGCAGGTCCATGTCTTCCTGTATAACCCCGATATAACAGTACATCCCTATATTCGGTATTATGATAATTAAAGCCCCATTATCCATCGGTTTTTTTTCAAGTTTCACATTTGAATATTGTAATGACTTATGGCAAAAGTTCCCTATGCAGGTCCACGTCGTCCTAGAGACCCTAAAATAACGGATACATTCGGTATTTTTAATATTTTAACAGAAATTTTAACGTATTTTATTTTTTTGAAAATTGTCAAATTCCAATTGGTGGAGGGTATTCAAAGATCGACCCGGCCAAACTTACAGCTTTTTTACTTGTTTATCATTATTAAATATAATTTGATTTCTATTGTAAATTGTCTCTTTCTTTCTTTCCAGGCCATTTAGGCTATGACGCGAGCATTTTCTTTGCAGCGTTGGATTTTCTTTTTATAAGGTAAGATATGATTCAAATGGTCACATATTTTATAAGATCATGGGGAGGATATATAAATTATAATTTACAGCCTTAAGAACTGACTCAGCTCAAATAAATCGAAATTGAGTTGCACGAGTACTTTGAAATTACGTAGCCTTCGTTATACAATTTTACTTTATAAATAATATGTGAAGAAAAAATTCTCATTAACTTCATCCACCTACAGGTACCTTTCTAAACTTTGGTATGCCTTTTATTGAAACACCTCATCAAAAGGTCCAAACTTCAAACATCAAAAAGTTTGATTGACAATTGTTGGCCGGGTATGGAATTATGTACCAACATCTTCGGCTAAGCTACCACACTATTATAGCTCTGGTTATCCTTTAAAAAATTCGTGAATATAGCACTGGTGGTCCCTTAAAATGTCCTAGAATATCGGTCTAAAAAATACAGTACTCTCACTTCGGTGATTGCCCTTCAAACCATCCTTTTTTAACTCTTTATTATAGCTCTGGTGGTGCTCTAAAAATTCATACTATTAGTTTCTAGCTTAAATGTCTGGTTGTCTTTGAAACTCTTCTATTATAGCTCTGATGGTATTTCTTAAGAGGGCCAATAGTATAGCTTCGTAACAGTCCTTTATTATAGGTCTGGCAGTCCTTTAACACAATCCTATATTATAGGTAGGATAGGAATCTATATAGGATCTGCACTGGAAATTTCCTGTAATAGGAGGTAGTATACCAAATTTGAAGTAGGATTTAGCAACAACTTTTAGAATAAGTTTCGATTTGTTCACCTTTGGCACGAATTATGGCCTTTAAACGGCCAATAAAACCGTCACACGCTGCCCGAATGCTGCTCTGCGGTATTTTGGCCCATTCCCGGTGAAGCGCTTGCTTGAGGTGATCGACACTTTGGTATTTTTTAGTTCGCCAACCTTGCATTCCAAAATACTCCAGACACAATAGTCCAACGATTGGTATCCGGAGATTTGGGTGGCCATTGTGCGCTGGAAAGGAACCTCATTTTGTAACCATTCTTGGTTGGCACGTGCTGAGTGCGTTGGAATGTCCAAGGTCTGCGGCCAAAATGTTTGCGTGCCCAAGACTTTAATACACCTTCCAGAATATTTTCGCGATAATATTCGGCATTTATTCTGATGCCACGGCCGATTAATACGAGCGGAGAGCGACCATGGGTTGTTATGGCGGCCCACACCATCACCATGGCCGGCGCTTGAGTTCTGTTCTGGTGGCCAACCGAAGGTGGACATTTTCAGCTGACCTAACCTCTTTGGCAAGTAAACACGATCATTTTGGTATTTTTACAAACTGCTGGACGACGAATGTTTTCTCATCGGACAAACCCAAATTTGGCCCTTCACCATTTTCGGCCAAGCGCAGCAACTCTTTAGCTCTTTTGAGTTTTCTTTCTTTCGGTTGCGGTATAAGTTCTTGCACTTTTTGGAATTTCAATGGCTTTACCCCGAGCTCATTGTTCAAAATTTGGCGGAATGGAATATTGCGATATGTTCAGCTCACGAGCCATTTTTCGGCCACTGCCGGGTTTCGATCAAGTCACTTCTTTACTTTTCGAACCATTTCCGCTGATGTTGCTGACGTCGAGCTACGCTATCAGTATCACGGTAACGAGCGATGGTACGAGACACAAAAGATTTACTCACATTTAAATGCTGGAGTGCTCTAACGAGCACCAGCCAAATATAAAGAAATCACACGATCACGCTTGAAGTCCATCACGAATATCCTTTTTTCTGGAAAATTCTCACCAAAATGCTTTCGTACGCTTGTAAACAATATAGTGAGCTGTCACTGGAATAATTTTAACAGCAGTCGGACGAGTGGCTTAGAAATGACAGCAGTCTGAAGTATGTTGCAGTTTTTCATCTCACCCTGGGGTCTTAAAATTTATAATTCGAGGTATTAAAAATGGAATGACAAACTTAATATACCCTCCATACTTTGGTGAAGGGTTAAAAATATGTACGTTATCCCACTGTTTTTTTTTTTTTTTTTTTGTTAAAACCCCATTTTCGTTCACCCACAACAGATTAAATCCTTTGCCATTAACACTTCTGCTGCATTTTATCTCTCTCTTCCCCCACATTTCTCTCTCCCTCGCTTTCATGATATACAATATTTTGGCTTTTATTTTCTATATTAACTCATACCAATAACATTGGCTGTGTGTTTTTGTTTTGTGATTCTCTCGAGTTCGATTTTGCTTTCATATTTTGCACTTTAGTCAATTTTTCTGGGTCAAATTTTAATATGCAACAGCAGCAGCAGTAGCAACAACAACAAACGGCAATAACAACTGCCTCGACAGCAACACCGATGAAAACAACAAACAAAATATAGTTAAACAATATTTTTGTGGTCAATGTACCCAAGCCAATGCTGCTGGTGCAGTGAGCAGCGTCTGTCTCTGTCTATACCAAAAAAAAAAACGGCAACAACACATGGCCCTCAATCACATACACGGAGGCAAGCACTCTCTCACACTCATGTTCTCACATTGGGCTTCTCCCAATCAAATGCATTTGCAAATGTGAAACAAGTTAGCGGTGTTTTTGTTTTTGTTTAACAACCCCTCATTAAAGGAGAGACAGAGAGAGAACAAAAGTCTAATAAGATCCCATTCACTGTTTCTCCCAATATGCATTTCTTATTAACAACACTACGATAACAATTGTTTGCCTTAAGGCTCTGAAACAAGCAAATGTGTGTGTTCGTGTGTGTGCGAGAACATAAGAGACCGCCAATGTTCATTTTCGTGTGCAAGTGTCTACGTAGTAGTGTTAGTGTAGGTTCCCTGCAAATAATTGTGGACTACGTGATCCATTTCAGCAGCTGCGGACTGGTTACAACATTGTCCTATGTAATGCAGCTATGGACCATGTCATTGTCAATCAAGAATGTTTTGGTTAAGAAATGTAACGGCAAATGATCGTTTTTTATCGTTTGCTCATTAATTTGTTGTTTTTGCAAGCGCTAGTTTTTTTTGCAGACACGTGTTTATCGTTTTTTTTTTGGCACAAATTTGACATTGATTTTAGTTTGTTTCTGGAAGCGTTGTGCGTCGGTTGCATCGTTGTGCGTGGTGATAAATTGCAAACAAAAGATTGTGTAAACAAAAGTAAAAGATTTGAAGGTAAAAAGAATAACTTATAAAAAAAATGGAATGTAGTTCGCGTCATAAAAGACGGCTTTTAAAAGCTGAAAAAGAAGATTTTGTCAAAAGACTATTTAGTTCAAGTGTTGAGTGTGAACAAATTGAAGTAGAAAAAAATGCCGAAGCAGATTCAGATTCAATAGTTGAAATAGAAGAGACAGAAAATGATTATTACAATGCAAATGAAGAATTTGACAAAAGAAACAACTTTATAAGTGCTTTAGGGCAATGGCAGTTAAAAAGCCGGACATCCAACCAGAACATGAGAGAACTGCTAATAATTTTAAAAAATTATGGTTTGGATGTGCCTCTCTCTCCAATGACACTGGTGCAAAAAGTTAGTTCGAGGGCAGATATAATTTCTGTTCCTCCTGGTGAATATGCACATTTCGGCCTGAAACAAAATTTAATGAAAGCAGCACAAATTTTACAAAAATATGAGGAAATAATTTGCGATATTAATATTGATGGTTTACCCATCTTTAAAAGCTCAAATCTTCAACTTTGGCCAATATTAATTAAAGTTATTAATATTAGAAATATAAAGGTGTTTCCTGTTGGTATTTATAAGGGCAAACAGAAACCTCATGATATAAGTCAGATCCTAGAAAAACTCGTTGAAGAAATTTGCGATTTACAGGAAAATCACTTGTTTATTGGTGGCAAAAAAATTAGTTTTAAAATAAGAGCTGTGATTTGTGATGCTCCCGCAAAATCATTCATTTGTGGGATAGCTCACCATTCATCTGCAAATGGTTGTTCAAAATGTACCCAAGTGGCCAAAAAAATATGCAATGTTTTAACTTATAGTTCAGAAGTAGGTACAATTATAGACGATGACGACTTTGCTAAAAGGAAATATAAAAATCATCACCAATTAAAATTTATTGAAACCAAAACACCATTGGAGAAAATAAATTTAAATATGATAAGTCAAGTTCCTTTAGACCCAATGCACGTTATTGATTTAGGGGTAACTAGGAAAATGTTGATGAAACTAGTAAAAAATAAAGTGAATGAAAAAATTTCAATTTCGAATAAGGGAAATATATCTAAATTACTAGTTTCATTAAAAAAGTGTATTACTAAAGACTTCACAAGAATGCCTCGTAGTTTGGATGAACTTGCGAACTGGAAAGCTACAGAATTTCGTCAATTCTTACTATACACTGGTGTTTTAGTCTTAAAAAACAATGTTGGTGATGATTTTTATTACACGTTTTTAGTCTTTCATTGTGCTATAAGGCTTTTGTCATGTCCAAAAAACTTTGAAAATAACATTGCTGCCGCCGAAGATTTGTTGAAACTCTTTGTTGAAAATTTCAGTGTCGTTTTTGGTCCTCAAAACGTTACCTATAATGTGCACAGTTTGCTTCATATATGTGAATGCGTCAAATGGTTACTTGGGTGAATGGTTACTTGGGTGATGAATACTGGTTGAGCATTAAAACACCAGATAACATTTGTCTTGTAATGCCATTTACCCCGTTAAAAATTACAGGCTTCAAACGAGGAGAGAATAATAAAATTTTTTTTAAAGCGAGACGTTTCAAAAATATTTGTCCTTTTTTTGAAGAGCCATTGGACTCATTATCAGCATTAGGTATATGTATTGCTGATAAGATATTAGAAGATAGTGAGGAAATATTTAATATTGAAAATATTAATTGCAAACTAATATCATTGCCCTTTGAAAATAAAGTGGTTTTAATGCCAATTCTTCATAGTTGCATTTAAAGTTGCAAAAATTAACGTCTCATTTATTTAATATAGCCAACACTTTTAATCTACGCAATTCTAACTGATATCTTCGCAATTCGACAATATTTAAAATGGAGGGCAGAAATCTTAAACATCTAAATACTTGCAACAGACTTTCTAATTGTAAGTAAATTTATAACATACATTTTTCAATTTTCTAAAGCCATATTACTATGTTTTTCAGATAGTGCCAAAGAAACGCCATGCTGTTCTTGCATAGAACTCAAAGGTAGTTTTTGTTAAATATGGAGTTTCGTCTTTATTAATAACATTGTTTAATTTATAGAAATGATGGCTGGGATGATGACTGAACAAAAAAAATTACAGGAACAGCTCTCAAAATTACAAAGTAAAGTATAATGTTTTTTTCGTCATCGTTATTTTTTGTTATATAGTTCTTTCTCTTATAGCAACAACAGAACAGCAAAACAAAATAATAGTGGAAATGTTAGCAGAGCACAAATTACAGCTGCAAACCCTCAATAAGTCCCAGAAAAATGTTACTTCCCTGTCAAGCAAATTTCCCCTCAAATCCGAAGAAGATCTCCAAAAAGTTGAGAGTGAAATATGCGATTCGAATGAAGAAAAATATGTAAGTAATCGTTGCCCTATATTGTATATATGTTGAAATACCTTCAATTTTAAAATTATATACTTTTTCAATATTTTTTTATTTTTAGATATCTGCTGTAAAGTATTTAATCGATGGCAGCGCAATAAAAAATTTGGAACGCATTTTTTCCCGGGAGATTTGCGTAATGTACAATACGGATGGTATTTGTGGGAAAAAATGTTTGAAGAATTTTAAAAGAATATATAAAATTGTTATTGGTAAGTATTCTGATTCTAAAACATTATTAAGTTTTAATGAATTTCTTTATTTTAGCTGCAATAAGTGACTATTCCCCCAATAGCGAAAAAGAATTTCGAGCAGCACTCCAAGTCGTAAAAAAAAGGCACTTCCGAGTTGTTTGTTCCCAAAACAAAAACAAAAATTAATTATATAATTTGTTAATTACATGTAATTTTTAATTTTTTTAATGACAGTGAATTGGAATATTACTTAAGTTTTTTTAATGAATTTATTATTAATTATATTATTTATCTCACTAAAGACTATCAATGTACCTGCAGAATGAAATATTTATTTTTATGTTTTATAGAATAAAACACTAATACTTATAGTACATTACTTATGTTGTATTATTTCCTGTTTTTCTCTGAGTGTATATATCGTTAAATCAGAGAAAAGCGCAAAATAAATAGACCACTTAATGGATTGGTTTCAAAACTAGCCCTCTGGGGTACTCTATGGACTAGTTACACGGATTAGTTTTAAGATCAACCGTATGTGGTGTACCATAGAGTAATGACGTGGACTAGTTTTGAAACTACTTTGATGTAATGCAAAGCTGGGTTACATGGTCCGGCCCTAGGACATAGCAATGCTAAATCGGTTAGGTTTTTTCAATGCATTTGGGTTAGTTTTGGACTACTCCTGGTCTGTTATGGACTACTCTTTACACGCGTGTAAGGGTTAGGCGCATTATTTGCAGGGTTAGCCATTGTGCCACTGTTCTCGTCTATCTGTGTGCAGGCATGTATGTTCGTATGCATATGCATGCCAATGTGTTGGCCTATTAGAATGAGTATGCTTGCCTTTGCGTGAGTACATCCGATCTCTAATGCATTTCGGGGAATTTGCAAACTGGCGTTTGGAGAGTAACAGAGTCAGGAACATACAAACACACATCGACGTTTTTTTTATATCTCTGTGGGTCGTTTGTTTTGTTACGTTATCGTTGAAAATAAAAGTGCAAACATTGTATGCGCTCTATGATGATGGATTGCAATGCGCTTTGTGTGCATGAGTCTATGTGCATCTGACTGGCTTTCATCATCAATGCTTATCATGATGCACATTTGTATTATTATTCTTGCTGTTGTTGTTGTTATTTTGTTATCATTACTCATATCACCACCATCATGATCGGTGTAATGCAGCCGTCGTTTTATTTAGTATTCGTTGTCGTCTTCGTTATTTTCACCTTCAATATCATCCTCATATAATTCGTGTAGATACAGCACAACGGAGGTGTTGGGACTTTGTTTACATTTCGATTATTTAGAGAGCTGCATTAGTTTAGCATTAACTGCATTTATTTGGATACAAATATTGATTAAAAACGAAATGACATGGAAAACCTATAGGACCCATCATAAATCAGTAGAGGTAGTCTCATTTGCTAAATCGAACATATCAACGAACTCAACCTTGTCAATTTTTCAAATAAAAATATTTTTGTACTAGTCTAGCAATTTATCCTTGACATTTTAAAGACATTTTCTAACAGCCTTTGATCTTAAATATTTTGGATTTTTTAAGATTTTTACCCGATTCCACTAGCTCTATAATCTTGAATATTTTAAAGAATTTTAAATACAATTCCAATCGCTCTGCAAATTTAAAGACATTTTTAAGGCAATTTTCAAACCTTCTTTAATATCACAAATCGTGGACTTTTAACATAATTATACACTCAGCCATGAGACTAGGCTATATATACGCTCTATATAATTTGATACGGTCAAAGAGTTTCTCATCGAAAAAACGGTTTTAGACCCTAGGTCTCTTTGGATCAAATCCGTTCCAGGACATTTGGAGTCGATCTAGCGATGTCCGTACGTCTGTCTATCTGGCTTGCTGGTGCGCACGATAACTCTCGAAGGTAGCATTCGCTTTCATCCATACTTGGTACATCATATTATTACAATCAAACTTAGAGCGAGTTCGTAGATGGGCAATATCGGTCCACTCCTGCTGGTACCTCTCCCACAAGATGTCAAAATTTGCAAACAAAATCATTTACCGCACAGAATGAGAAAGGATAAACCGATTTTGCTCCAACTTTGCAAATCCTAATATTTGCGTCAGTGCTGGGTCAGGTGCGAAAATGGATAATATCGGTCCACTCCATCAAGTACCTCCCCCACAAAGGGTCAACATTTTGAATAATTATAACTCTCATTAGATGTAATGTAAGTGTCCGATCGCCTTCAAATTTTACACATTCTAATAATTTTATTAATCCAAGGTCTGCTGTAAAGATGGAATGCATCGATTCGCTCCTTCTGGCACCTCCTTCACAATAGGTTGACATTTCCAAAAGAACATATTTTCTACACAGAAAGAGAAACGATATTCCGATTTTGCCCCAACTTTGTAAATCCATATATTTGCATCAGTGCTAGGTCAGGTACGAAAATGGACAATATTCGGTCCACTCTATTAAGTATCTCCCCACAAAGGGTCAACATTTTGAATAATTACTTATAAAATATGATGTAAGCGTCCGATTGTCTTCAATTTTTACACATCCAATAATTTTATTAATCCAATGTCGGCTGTGAAGATGGAATACATCGATCCGCTCCTTCTGGTAACTCCCCTACAAAAGGTCGACATTTTCAAAAAATATATTTTCTGAAAGAAATAACACTATCACCCTTGAATACCATCACGAATAACTTATTTTCTGGAAAATTCTCACCAAAATTCTTTTCTACGCTTGAAAACAATATAATGAGCTATCATCGGAATAATTTTAACAGCCGTCGGGCGAGTGGCTTGGAAATGACAGAAGTATGAAGTTGGTTGCAGTTTTTTTCATCTCACGCTGTATATTATATCTGCAGGACTTTCGGTATTGAAAATGGGCCGTGTAGGTCCACGTTTTTGGTATAGCCCCCATATAATGGTACCTGCCGATAATCGGTATTTTGATGATTTTAACGAAAATATTGATCAGAATTCTTTCAAATTTGCTATTTGATGTTCGTAATGGGTGCTACAGCCTATGACAGGAGATTGTCCGAACAGGTCCACGTATAGCCCCCATATAACGGTACCTCCCGATATTCGGTATTTTGATGATTTTTGCGACATTCTTCCCCGGAAATGTTTCAAATGTTGTATTTCAAGTTCGTAATGGATACTACAGCCTAAAACAGAAAATTGTCTGTGCAGGTCCACGCCTTCGTATAGCCCTTATATAAAAGCACCTCCCTATATTCGGTAATTTGATGATTTTAGTGACATTATTCACCGGAATTGTTTCAAATTTGGTATTTGAAGTTCATAATGGGTACTACAACCTATAACAAAGATTTCGTATGCAGGTCCCCGTCTTCGTATAGCCCCATAAAACGGTTTTATTTAAGAAGTAGTTTTCGTTTTTTTTTTTTTTTTTTTTTTTTTAAAGTAAAAGTTCGGCCCTGCCAAACTTAGCTGCTTTTTTGCTTGTTCTTTTCTTTCATTAGGTACTTGTAAATAATCTCTTTTTGAGTTTTCCATTCACTTCGTTATTTCATTTGGTGGCGTTTAAATCCCAAACAATTGCATCTGAATTCACGCAATCAATCTCTACACCCATACTCAGCAATTAGTCATCATCCAAGTTGACAAATATTCAAATCAGATGTCACAGAAAAATTGCAAGCAATCCTACGCATTATTCATTTCTAAATGGAAACATTTACAAAACAATTTTTAACAACAAAAAAAAAACTATTTATAAAAAATATATTTGCACAAATAAAACATTGCATTTTTGCTTAAGGTATTGCAATTAAATTTATTGGGAATTCACCGTAGCTATTGGAATTCACCATAGCTACATGTATTTTTCGTAATATAAATAAATATGGATGCGTTTTGCTACTATTCATAATTTTTAGATCCCCAAAGGCAGTATTTCAAGTACATAGTTAGATTCGTAGCAAAAAAAAGGAAAAAAAGGAGCAAAGTTCTGCCGAGTTTTTTATACCCCCACCATTTGGCAGAAACTTAAAAATTTTCAAAAAAAAAAATTACTTCGAAAAATACCGCTTAAATGAAAACAGTTATATAGGACGAAGACGTAGTCCTGCATAAGTAATTTGTGTCATAGGCTGTAGTAACTGTACCGAAATATTAAATACGAAATTTGAAACAATTCCAGTGAATAATGACGTAAAAATCATGAAAATACCGAATATTGGGAGGAACCGTTATATAGGGGATTTATGACATCGTGGACCTATATAGACAATTCTCTTCCAGGGGGTAATGTACTCAAACTGAACTTCTTGTAAGAATTTTCAGACAATTCCATTGAAAAATATGGCTGAAATCACCAAAATACCGAATATCGGGGGATACCATTACAGGGTAAAATGAAAAAAAACTGCAACCAACTCCAGACTGCAATCATTTCTAAGACACTCGTCCGAAAGCTGTTAAAATTATTCCAGTGTCAGCTCACTATATTGTTTACAAGCGTACAAAAGCATTTTGGTGAGAATTATCCAGAAAAAAAGTTATTCGTGATGGAATTAAAATTCCAAAAAGTGCAAGAACTTACACCGCAACAGAAAGAAAATAGACTTAAAAGAGCTAAAGGGTTGCTTCGCTTGGCCGAAAGTGGTGAACTGCCGAAATTTGGTTTTCTCCGATGAGAAGACATTCGTTGTCCAAGAGTTTGTAAACAAACAAAATGATCGCGTTTACTTGCCAAAGAGGTCAGGTCAGCTGAAAATGTGCACCTTCGGTTGGCCACTAGAACTTAAGCGCCGGCCTTGGTGATGGTGTGGGCCGTAACAGCCGATGGTCGCTCTCCGCTCGTATTAATCGACAATGGCCACCAAAATCTCCGGATACTAATCCGTTGGAGTATTGTGTCTGGAGTATTTTGGAAAGCAAGGTTGGCACAAAAAAATACCAAAATCTCGATCACCTCAAGCAAGCGCTTTGCCGTGAATGGGCCAAAATACCGCAGAGCAACATTCGGGCGGCGTGTGACGGTATCATTGGCCGTTTGAAGGCCATAATTCGAGCCAAAGGTAACCAATTCGAACAAATCTTAACTTATTCCAAAATTTGATGCTATTTCCGACGTTTTTATACCCTCTACCAGAGTATGGAGGGTATATTAGGTTGGTCATTCCGTTTGTAACACCTCGAAATATATATTTTAGACCCCACAAACTATATATATTCTTGATCAGCATAAAATTCTATGTCGATTTAGCGATGTCCGTCCGTCTGTCCGTGTGTCCGTCTGTGGAAATCACTCTAGCTTCCGAACGAAATGAAGTAGATTGATAAAATTTTACTCAAATGAATATTATGTCTGCAGGACTTTTGGTATTGAA